GCAAACATAAAAGACAGAAGACAGACAGAAAACAATTGTGCTGGCCAGCTTACCTCCCGGTGGTGAGTCGGTGGTCCCTGGGCAGGGGTCTCCAAATCTCGGTGGAACCTCCAAATGAAAGACCCCAGTGGTGGGCAGTCTTTCAGGCTAAGGAGACCCTCCCAAGGAACAGCGAGATCACTCTTCGGATTCCCCCGGGAGCATGCTAGCTGCGGGTTTTGAGGAGGGGGTCTGTAGGGTCTTTCACAGGGGAGAAAGGTGTTTTCTAACACATGGCCCTGGGCCAGTGGGAAAAACAGCCCCCTTGATGGAAGCTCCAGATGAGATGTTTTTGTGCCTCAACAAACCTCTGTACTGACACAATAATCCAAATCAAACCAAATTAGAAAAAGCCCAGATTTAATGAAAGCGGTGCTCTCAGGTGAAAATGGGAAGGAAGACCAAAAAACCATATGTTTGTTCTCTGGGTTGCTGTTTATATACCCCGTGGGAGTGGTCTTGGGCATCTCTGAGGAGGGGTCTGAAAGACCCTCCAAGAGTGTCTTTCCTCTGGGGAGACCCTTCCCAAGGAACAGCGAGACCACTTGTACGGATGCAAACAGCAAGAGGTTTATTCACATACACAGGTACCTGGGGCGACAAAGTCTCTCGGAGGACTTGTGCGCCTCTAGGTCGGGGTAATGGGTTTATATATGTTTTGGGGAGCAAATGAAAGACCCCAGTGGTGGGCAGTCTTTCAGGCTAAGGAGACCCTCCCAAGGAACAGCGAGATCACTCTTCGGATGCAAATAGCAAGAGGCTTTATTCAGTACACAGGTACCTGGGGCGACTTAGTCTCTCGAAAGACAAAGCGCGCCTGCAGACTGGGGGAAGGTCTTTTTATAGGAAAGAGGGCAGCAGAAGCAGATTACAGAAGCAAATGCATTGTTAGTGGTCAGTTGGAATGGGGCAAGGGGCACAGGTGGTTTTTCCTTTCCCAGCACAGATGTATGGGAACAGATATCCTGTTAATTGATGTCCTGTCCGAATCTATGGATATAAATATCCTGTTTTGCAGCCAGGGACCCTGACCTTACTCTGCACTTACAGTCGTTCGTCAAAAGCTTTGTGAAATGACGTTACAGCAGATAAGCTGGGATCTTTCATAGGGGGAGTTGTCTCTTCTGTGAATTACTGATATTCTAAGTTGGGCACATGTGCTGACTATAGGCATCCTGTTTCCCTAAGCAAACGGGATGTTCTCATTAGAGCAGGCCAGCTGCAGGTTCCTTATCGCTTGGGGCCAGATGGCTGACCGGCTGACCGCAGATATCTTGCCTGGCTTCTCCACCCTTGTTCTCAAGTCGAACTTCCCTGCTCTAATGTTACTTGTGTTGCTCCAAAGTTTAAGCCTGGCATTGCTGCTGCTTAGCTGTTTGTCTATACTGTGGGGGTCTTTCACAAAAAGCGTGGTACAGAAGCGAGAAGCGCAGTTACAGGGTTTTTATTGGTTAGTTTGAATGTGGCCGAGTTCAGGTCGGGACAAGGTCCCTAGTCCCCGAGAATTCAGATATGGGCTACCTTGGCTCTTATCTAGGGCAGACAAAGTGTCTTCTCCCCGCCTGGGGCAGACGACATCCAGCCACATTCTCGGTATTCCTCGTTCCTCCCCCCAGCCCAGCCACAGGTGTCTCTATCTCGTTTTGGCAGCTTCTAAACTGCCCTTTGTTCAAATCCTGAATATTCAGTATAAGCCTTGTAAAATGGCGTTACCGGTGCTAAGTTGTTTAACAAGCTGGGCGGGGGGGGTGTCTTTCATCTGGTGCTAAGCTGCTTAGCAAGCTGGACGGGGGGGGGGGGTCTTTCAGGGTCATCATTTGGTAGGCTTTCTTGGGCGTTGAGGCTGTACTGAAGTAACTCCCAGGAGAGTGGGTTTGAGATGCGAACTTTCTACCCAAACAGAAAGTGATTGAAAGACCCTCTGGACACCCCCCCCTCCCAGAACCCGCAGCTGGCCTGCTCCCATGAGAACATCCTGTTCGCTTAAGACCCTCAGGACCCTCTCAGGACCTGCAGCTAGCCGGCTCTCATGAGAACATCCCGTTTGCTTAGGGAAACAGGATGCCTATAGTCAGCACATGTGCCCAACTTAGAATATCAGTAATTCACAGAAGAGACAACTCCCCCTATGAAAGATCCCAGCTTGGCTGCTGTAACGTCATTTCACAAAGCTTTTGACGAACGACTGTAAGTGCAGAGTAAGGTCAGGGTCCCTGGCTGCAAAACAGGATATTTATATCCATAGATTCGGACAGGACATCAATTAACAGGATGTCTGTTCCCATCCATCTGTGCTGGGAAAAGGAAAAACCCCCTGTGCCCCTGGCCCCATTCCAACTGACCACTAACGATGCATTTGCTTCTGTAATCTGCTTCTGCTGCCCTCTTTCCTATAAAAAGACCTTCCCCCAGTCTGCAGGCGCGCTTGTCTTCCGAGAGACTAAGTCGCCCCAGGTACCTGTGTACTTAAGTACTTAATAAAGCCTCTTGCTATTTGCATCCGAAGAGTGACTCGCTGCTCCTTGGGAGGGTCTCCTCAGCCTGAAAGACTGCCCACCACTGGGGTCTTTCAGTGATGTAATATCATGTGATCAATTTATGACATTAAATGTTAAATAAGAAGAGGGAGTAGAGAGATGGCTCAGCAATTAAGAGCACTGGGTGTTGTTACAGAGCCCCGGGTTTAATTCCCAGAACCTCCATGATAACTAACTATTTGCTGTAACTCCAGTCCCAGGCATCTCCTTCCATCTCCTGGCCTCTGTAAGTACTGTTCACAGGCACATACAAGCAAAACACCCATATAACTACATTTAAAGAAAAAAGTTAAAAAAAAGGAAAGGATGGAATTCTCTACAGTGATGTCACAACCCTGAGACAGACAGAAGCCAGGGGCAGTTAAAATGAACTCCTTCTGATCTTGCATGGAAGCATCTGTGGTCTTCTGCTGAGCCAGCCAGCTCAGAAGTAAAAACAGCTTTGTTCTGAGGTTAACAGAGCTCACCATAATCATTCATCTAAAAGCAGAGTGCACAGGGCTGTTAAGTGCCCTTTCCTTGAAGTTTTCTGTATTTATGTTCTCTATCTTTTGTATCGGTGAGAACTGGGGCATCTGTACAGTTATCTTTTAGATCAAACATCAAGATTGACAGGTCACACAGGCTCCTGAGAAATCTACTTTCACGGTGTCATTTCCTGATTTTCAGCTAAGAACTTGTTGTAATTTTAACAAGTGGCTCAAAAGAAGAGCTCACGTGGAGGGGCTTTTATTAGGGGAAAAGGAATGTGGAAAAAAGGGGGGGGTGGGGAGACCAGCCTCTGGAGACAGAAGAGAGAGTTGGGGTGGGGGTGGGAGGCAGAGGCAGAGAGAGAGAGAGAGAGAGAGAGAGAGAGAGAGAGAGAGAGAGGAAAAGAGGAAGGGAGGGATGGATGTGAGAGACCCTTAAGGACCCCCCCTCAGAACCCGCAGCTGGCCTGCTCCCGTGAGAACACCTTGTTTGCTTGAAAGACCTACAAGACCCCCCTCCCCAGAACCTGGAGCTAGCTTGTTCTCATGAGAACATCCTGTTTGCTTAGGAGAACAGGATACCTGTGATTGGCACTTGTGCCAAACTTAGAATGACAGCAGTTCACAAAAGGAATAGTCTGTCCCCTTGAGTAATCGAACAAAAGACCAGATGGGGAAGGTCAGGGCCAGAATCTGGGAAATGGAATGAACAAACAACTTTGTCCATTGTCACTACCTGATCTGTTTAAAATAACCTGTGATATTTATGCTCTGAAAACTGCAGAGTACGTAATTAACTTTGCCTATATAAGCTTGCTGGAATTTTGCTTGGTGTGCTCAGTCGTGTTCCCCCCCCTCCCCCCAGTCTGAAGACACCTGATGGCGCTATCGAAATAAAACCTCTTGCTCTTGCATCTGCTGGCCTGGATTATTGAGTCTGGGGACTTCCCTCGTGGCCTTAGAAATTCTAGGGTCTTTCAGATGGAAGGGGAGAAAGAGGGAGCGGGAGGTGGGCAAGGCTCACCGTTTAAAAGGGACAGTACGGGAAGTGTGCAGGAGTGGCTGCAGCTGAGGACACATCTGTCAGGAACTCAAGGGCAGGCCAGTACAGATTAACACTTGTGGTACAAGATGAATATGCCAGAGGCGTTTCTTTCCATCGTTTTTTTTAAAAATATTTATTTATTTATTATGCATACAATATTCTGTCTGTGTGTATGTGTGTGTGTGCAGGCCAGAAGAGGCACCAGACCCCATTACAGATGGTTGTGAGCCACCATGTGGTTGCTGGGAATTGAACTCAGGACCTTTGGAAGAGCAGGCAATGCTCTTAACCTCTGAGCCATCTCTCCAGCCCCTCTTTCCATCGTTTTTATAATTTATATGTTTCTGTATGACTTTGAAGCAAGAATGCCCCGAAATGTCTTCGCTTTTACATTGTGATTATGTTCAGAAATGGGTTTGTTAGCCGAGTCTGCTTAGGGATAGGCTGAAATCTACTTGTATGTGTACAGACTCCCTAAGTAAAATCCACACGCTTCCTTTGTTCAGGAAAAGCAAGCTTTGTTTTGGAAATAACTCCCATGCTTTTCCTGTTTCCTGCAGCTAAGGATGTTTCTCCCCTCTTCTGTCTTGAGTGTTGTGATGGCTAATCTTGGAAGTCAAACTGGCTACAAGTGGCAAACTAGTGAGTCACCTTGTGTCAAGGAGAAGGGGAAGTGCCTCTGGAGATAGCAGGGTCTACTATTGGAGCCAGGGGCAAATGCTATGGAAACGCATCTCTGCTGATTCAGAAAAGGGTTTTCAGATGAAAGGCAGGGCCTGGAAACATTGTACTGTGTCTTTAAGCACAGTATAATCCTATGGGAGGTGCTCTTGTCATTCAGACCTCACTAGCCAATCAGATTCTCTAGTTGACCTGTCAGTCAGAAATTGTGCCTGGTCCTTCCGGCCCCAATTCCAAGCTTTGAAGAGAAGCTGGCACCGGTGGTTTTGTGTGCTGTGCTAAGAGTGTTGCTGCAGGCAGCTGAGCAGACGGCATGGGAAAGCTGGAAAGCCACGACACGGTGAGCTTGGGGCTATCCCCAGACTGGGAGGAGCTGCTAGTTGAGCCACGGGAGCCAGTGTGGTTCATCCTCCTCTGGCTGTGTGGTAGCCAGTGATCGTATGCAGAGTTCAGCATATTCCTGCCTGGGTCTGCATCATCCAGCGTGCTTCTGTTGGTCCTTAATACTCCGGCGTGGTCTGAGTGGTCCTGCATGTTCTTTGTATTTCCTGGGCCGACTGGCAGTCTCTGAGCAACTTCACTCTCCTGACTGCGTCTGTGCAGAGCCTTGAGAGAGGGACTGTGCTTTGAAATATCCTTGTTGATATCACCTTGAAATGCCGGCGCCCTTAGTGCTTGTATTGGCTCTGTAACACAGATTTGCCAAGGTTGGAGAGCCGTGGTGCCTCTATTGTCTTCCAGAAGTTCTGCACTTTTAACATTTAACATTTAGGTTTAGGATCCATCTAAGAGTTAATTCTGTGGAGCTTGTAAATAGTATCTCCTGTATAGAGTAGCACTCCGCTGCTACTGTGATGTAGAAGAGTAGAATTGACGGCATAAGGACTTACCAGTTCTTAGGAAACACTAAGTCACAAAGTAGAAAGCAGGTAAGGGTGAGCTGCAGCCCAAATATTCCAAAGCAGAGTGGTATGCTAACCGCATGTGTTAGAGATTAGAATAAGATGTAAATGTTTGTTCTCCAGGATCAACCAGCTACATTCCCAAAGCCAAGGAGACAACCCTGTTTTACAACCAGCAGAAGTACCCACCCCTCTATTTAAAAACCACCCTCTTAATGCTGCTCAAGCGACCATTCCAGGGTCACAACCCCATTAAGTCCTGGTGTGCCATAAAAGTATAGTAATTCTAGAACATTGGCATTTCTAGTCTTTTTGAAAAGTGATTTGGAGTCAAGGTCTCCGACTCTGATTGAAGTGTATTTGAACCCTGTCCGTAGCCCCACAAAGCCCTTGTTGTCCTCTTGACTAAACACTAAACCTTGGATTGCATGTCTGCAGCACCACAGCGTTCTAAAATTCCCAGTTTGAGCCACATAGTGGACTGTCCATTGCAGAACAGGGAAAGGATTTGCGTGTGGAGTACTGGCTCCTCCATTCAGACCAGAAGAGGAGGAACACTGCCGGGAGAAAACAGATTAGATAATAGCTAGGTCACGGACTGGAGCTGAAGGCAGTGAGCTGCAGGGCTCTCCATTACAAAGGACTGAGGGGGCATGGTGAGTGACTTTCTCTGTAATTTCCCTGCAGGTATTAATTCCTTCCATGTGAATGAAGACAGTCAGAATTGGTGGGTGTACAATTTAGGGAGGGTCGCTTGAACTCCAGTTAGCAAAGCTGTGCAGATATGTACACTCTTGGTTGACACGGTTAAGTCAGCTGAGATGTTTGAGAAACAGGAGTTGAATGTAACTCCCTGTGTTAGATTACAGCACTCAGTGGCTAACATTTTACGTGGAAGCTGAGCAACCTCTTCCATTGCCGGTCTGTGCCCACTCTTTCACAACTGACCTCCTGTGGGCATACTGCACCTAGTCTGCCAATATAGTCTCTTATTAATGGCATTCTCTCTATCAGGGAAGGGCCTACTCTATATCATAGTCACTATGGATAAGGGTTCTTCCTACTATTTTTATCATTTTAAAACATCAATTATTGGTATTATTTTTAACATTCATTTTATTTAAATGCATTGCTGCTTTATTTATTCAATGTTTCCAAGTTAAATAATTTCATTCTATTTTTTCTTAAGTGCTGTTTATTTATTTATATATTTATATCAGTTTAGAGCAGGGTTTTTCAACCTTGAGGGTCACAGCTCCCTTTGGGGGATCAAATGACCCTATCACAGGACTAGTCTAAGCCCATCAGAAATTACAGATATTTATATTATAATTCATAACAGTAGCAAAAATATAGTTATGAAGTAGGAGTGAACTTTTTATAATTTTATAGGTGGGGGGGTCACCACATCATCAGGAACTATATTAAAGGGCCACAGCATTAGGAAGATTGAGAACAATTGGTTTATATTAGTGTCTCCTATAGCTCAGGCTTACGTCATACTATGTAACTGAGAATTGCTTTGAACACCTAATCCTGCCTCTGCTACCCAGTGCTGGAAAGACAGTCCAGCAACTCCTTCCAAGCTGGACCTCGATTGGGCTGTGTGAAGGAGAAAGAGATCAGTGAATGAATATCCTCCAACTTCTGTAGACTTTATTGTGAATTTACAAGTGAACTGGGACCTGTGTAAGAATTGAGTTCATTGACCAACTGTAAAGCCAGTGTATTCACAACAGAAAAAGGATGGGCAAGAAGGAGGGTAGAAGCTTTCCTGTTGTGATGGTAGTTGACATTAGCAATGAGTAGTGAGGCAATCAACTTTAGATGTTCCACAAATGTGCTGACTGGCCATTTGGTGGACCCGCAGACCATGCATACAAGAATCTATATAAAGAATTGAACTTACCATTAAACCTAATTACTGTAGTTACAGTAATTCAAGTAAAGTGGAGCTGGATAAAATGGTGTAGCCCTGTCTATCATGACTGTATTTTCCAGGTTTAAGATGTATACTCCGAGAAAAATGATGTGAGTGAAAGACCCTCACCCATTTGGGTGCAGGCCCAAGAGGGAGAAGCCCCACGACTCAATTAACCAGTCCAGCAGATGCAAGAAGCAATAGGCTTTATTAATGATAGCGCCACCAGGTATCTCTAGTTTCCAAAGAGGTAGAGTACCCCGAACAGCGATTCCAGCAAGTTACTTGTATACATATAGAAGACATTCTCACTCATGCACAAACATATGCCAAAAAATAGTAACAAATTTGTTTTCAAAAGTGCTTGTGACTTATAAAGCAATTAGAGTAAAACAGGTTGCTTTAGGTGTCCACTGATTCTTTAAAAATCTGTTATCTTGCATTTTGTTTTAAAATGTTTTTATTTCCTCACTCAGATTGCAGACTTACAGGCAATCATCAATCAGGCGGAGCAAAATGGTGTCTAAGTGATCCTAACAGACATCCTTTTCTTTACTATAAGATAATGAGATTTTTTTTTTTAGTATTCAAAATTATTTTCTATGAAATTAAGGCGTGAGAAGGTTTTAAGTGAATCTCTCCAATTTTGGTGCAACAGCCCTCCTCACCCAAACCATTTTCTGTTATTGGTAAAGGAGAGAGAACTGAAATCAGTGCTGGTCAGTGATTTCTTAGAGTTTGATTTTGTTAGAATCTTGTAGTTTTTTTATTTAAAGGAGCATAATATATCTTTGTGTCTTTGTTTTCAGTGCTACCCACCACCTATGTTGTTGATTTTATTCATTGTTATCTAAGTATATTGTTTATTTTCTGGAAAATAATGGTCTCACCAATTTTGTATTCAGATTTCTCATGTTATGAGTTCCTTGAGTTTTTGTTGGTTTGGGAAGATTCTGTGGAGAGACAGTTTTAGTTTTCTCTTGTTTATCTTAGATGTTTGCCTCTTTCCATTTCCTGGCATATCTATCTTCATGTTTGTGTTTTTGCTGCTTAAGTGATTGATATGATTAGTACATTGCCTTTGGGTCTTTAAAACCTTGTATATTATTGTCTCTTTCTTCTAATTAGCCTCAGCTCTCAGCATGGCATAGCTTAGAGTGATCTGAGACAGTACCAATTGAGGGTGTGCCTAGATCAGAATGTCTGATTAAGGTGTCTGAGAGAGATTGTGTTGATTTTTGATTGATATAGGAAGGCTCTTCCACTGAGTGGGCAATATCTCTGAGGAAGCAGTCTTAGGATGGATAGGAGAGCTAGCTGAGCACAAGACAGTGACAAAACAAGAGGGAAAGCCAGAAAACAATGGTTCCACATATTTTGCCTTTAGTTATTAACTTGAGTTTCTATTCTAAGCTCTCATAAGGAGGAATTGTAAAGTAGGTTTAACAACCAAATAAATACGTTCATTATCTGAGTTGCTTTGGATTGCATACTTTAATAACAGCAACAGGGAAGAAAGTTGGAAAAAAATGGGACTCAAAGGGGATTTTGTTGCTGCAAAGGAACTTGGAATATTGACTCTTATAAGAAAGCTGAAGATATCAGAAAACTGGACAAAGAGCTGTTCTTGTAGGGCCTAGAAGATGGGAATGTTGAGAGTAATGGCAGACAGTGGAGGCCAAGGTCATAGGATTTTAGTGGGCAATAGGCTCTGTAGGGAACCACGGAGTTGGCCTGACCTAACTGCCTCGAGAGACCTGTGTCATAGGATTTTCAGGTTAAAGTCCATGGTCCCTGGGTCACAATATACCTCCCAGTTCCCAACATACTGTTGAATTCCCTCAGGCAGTGAAGCATTCAGGCTGATTTGTGTTCTTTGTTTGATCCCTTAGTAGTCAAGGAATCATGAATGCTTAACAGGACAATCAAACTTAGACATTAATCTTGTATATGCTGTATAGCTTGCAAACTTCATTATATCCCGGTTTAGTCAGAGGTCGCTTGGTCATTTCCCCACTACCTAGACCCGTAATAATTATATAGAAATTGTATTACTTATATAATACTGCATATCCAATAGCTTAGGCTTCTTATTAAGTAACTTTTACATCTTAAATTAACCCATTTTTATTAATCTGTGTATCGCCACATGTCCGTGGCATACCAGTAAGGTTCCATTCAGCATCTGTCTCCTTCAGTGGCTACATGGCATCTCCCTGACTCTGCCTTTTCTCCTCTATCTCTGCTTAGAATTCCTACCTTGTTCCATTCTGTGCTGCCATAGGCCCAAAGCAGTTTCTTTATTAACCAATGGGAATAAAACATATTCACAGCATACAGAGGGGAATCACACATCACCTCCCATTTTCTGTCTAAATAAAAAGGAAGGTTTTAACTTTGATATAGCAAGATTACATATAACAAAACAATTATCAAGCAAGAATTATAGTTACAATATTTAGTCTATTTACATTTGGCAAGTTAAGGAAAATACTCTATCATCTATTCTATCTTTGT